TTAGAGGAAATAACAGAAATGGAGGTGCCAGTGATCATGATACACTCTCAACCCCACTGTGTAACTGTGAGTTTTTCTATTGACAAAAACGCAATGTTGTACATCTACATTTTTAAAGCACTCTACAAACTGAAGTGTGTACTCAGTATGCATCTACAGATGCATACTCATAAGTACACACCTACAGATGCATACCTAGCTGAGTACACATCTACAGATGCATACCTATTAAGTATGCATCTGTAGGTGCATACTTGACAAGTATGCATTAGGAGGTGTGTACTTGTCACCATATAAATGCCCAGTATCAAGTATACACATCTTCAGATGCATACTTGGCTGAGTACACATCTACAGATGCATACCTGTTAAGTATGCATCTGCAGGTGTGTACTCAGCCAAGTATGCATCTGTAGATGTGTACCAGCTAGGATGCCGGGGTGTGTACTTATGAGTATACTGTAGTTTGCATAACGAATTTTTACACACTTCAGTTTGTAGAGCACCTATACAATGTCTAACCACTTTCTAGGCTTCTGATTTGATGTGCAAGAGAACTTTATCAAACAGGAGCACCACAAATGAGAACATCTCTAAGAAAGCAAAACAAGAAACTGAAAAGAGATCAGACAATCCAACAACTCTCGAATTACTTGTAAGTTGAACAATTTTGAAATCGTTACAACATTGGTCTCACTTTTCTCTTACACTCACTTCTCTTTCCTATAGGCAAAATCTAGCAGCAAAACCTGCTGTTGAACAGAATTGTACGGCGTGACTCGAGAACCTCTGGCAACAACGACTGGAAAGGAAATGGTTTTGTGATGGCGCTGGTCGCAGAAAGAACCCAGTACCACCAACTAAACATATCTAACATGATTTCGGAACATGTTCCAATTTCTGAAATAACATTAATTATACAATCATAAATGGCTGAAGGTCTCTTCCTTTTATTTCTTTAAAGTAGACATCATACTTACTTCTCAATATTTTAGTTTTAATTGCTGAGAAATAACCGGGAACCCAACTGTAGCCTTATACGCAGGATTGCTGTACATAATATTTATTGGTTTCGTTTTTGTTTCGAATTTAGTCTAGTCCTTCCCTTCCACGCCCACCACACAGTGCATTCGTAAACGCTGCTGACTTTCCGATTTCCTAAAGAAGAAGCTGTTTGCGATTAAATCTTTTTTCATTTCTACGAAATTTTTTATTCATAAACCTGTCACCTCCAATTTGATTTTCCCCAGGCAAGCCTGAACCGTTGGCCCAGAAGTACCTTGGTTGAGCTCAAACTGTTCCCTTTAACGAGTGCGCACATTGGGTGGCCATGTCCCACACCGTTAACTCGGCTGTGATTGCATTCCAAATTTCCCCGCGGCACCAAGTACTGCATGACATCTCGTACATTATCACAGTGCCTGTCATTGAGCCATGAAGGGAAAGGGCAAATGAGAGATGGGTTTGGAAACAACAACAATTTATTAAACAGAATTTGGAGAGAGAGGCCAAAACAAAATTTAGAAGATCACAATTCGGGAATTTAGAATCACATTTCTATTCCCTCTGAGTCGTAGTCGGCCCAGGTGCCACCGCTGCCGCCGCTGCCTTCCTGGACATCCTCCAGATCCGCCGTCGTCGAAGTCCATGAGCTCGTCCTCTTTTGATGCAGTCAGCTCCAAGAAATCGGCCATGTTGTCTGTGGCCTGCTGCATGATGCCGTTCAACGGGTCTCGAAATCGGAGGGCAGAGGCGCGCTGCTCACCTCCTCCTCCCTCTCCACCACCATTGACTCGGCGTCCATAGGGGCTTCAGGCAGGGCCATGTCCATGTGTTAGGCACTGCAGAGGTTTCGTAAGGGCAGGGTGAAAAAAAGTAGATCGGCTACAGCGGAAAGGTGATTGAGTATAATTCAAGTTGCATCAGTTGCAGGGCCTTTTATAACTTTCGTAAACAATAGTACCAACATAAAATGTGACGGGCAGGATAGCCAACTTAGATACAAATAACACCATGGACACAGGGGGTGCAGTGGAATCTGCCCACCCCTGGCCGTTGGCCATGGCTCAGGCCTGGACGGCGCCCCCTAGTCCGCCCGTCACGGGAGCAGCGGTGGGCGCGCCAGTCACCCCGAGGGTGTTGACGGCGGCCACCATGCCCTCCATGACGGCGTCTTGGAGGGACGCGTCCCCAAGCAGAGCGGCAGTGTGTCCTGCCGCCTCCGCCATGGACTGCGAGGGCTGTAAGGGAGTATGGGGTGGTTTGTAACAGATTTCGGAATTCTCTATACAAAATTAAGAGCATTCTGCATATCGGTGTCAAACTTGTGCCAGTTGAGCAGTCTGGCCCTTCATCTAGACTGTGCAGCTCCATTGGATCAATCTGGAGTCCGTAATGTTTGAAATCTAAGACGTTTTCCAAACCCTTGCATGCTGTTACGAATCGCCCCAGCATGGGGTGATTTATAACAGCCATTGGGCTTTTCATAACATCCTACACATTACATGAAACATCGTCGGGAATGTTATCTCCTCCACCAGTTGTTCTTCGGGTGTCCTGCAGACGTCTAAAAATCTACATTACGAGCTGCCGTTGACCGCCTCAGCATTAACTGATAGGCTATGTCAATGCTAACCTCACTTTTTTCAATTTTAGAGGAAAGCATAGGATAACTCGCTTTAAAATGCATTTCGAGCTGTGTAAATGTATTGGCATAAAACAGCAGATGATTCGAGAAATAATTCAAGCATTTAACAGCAAACACTACTTAAATTCTTGTTTTAATACGGGTCTGTTACGAATCACCCCAAATGCCTGTTACGCAAGAAATCCGTCCCTAACTATCACTGGACAAAGTATAAGCAACTTATGCCACATGTTTACATTGTAAAGGGGTCACGCTTCAAGGCCCCAACGGTACTTCGATGGTGATTCATACCTGGGGAGCCTCAGACAGAAACTTCCTACAACTCAAAATAATAGATTTGCCTGTTTGCCGAAATTTCGGTGTACCCTATATTTTAGACGCCCTCCAAAACTATACCTGAGCACCGATCACATCCGCTTCGATTATTCAAGGACCCTGTACTTGAAGCGAAAGAGGGGCCATACTCAGATTTTCCTCTGCTCCCTCCACTTAAATTAATAAACGCATTTGTTACGAATCGCCCCTGTTACAAATCGCCCCATACTCCCTTACTTGCTCAATGGTAACGGTGTGCTGGCGGGCGGCGTCGGCGGCGTCCTGACTTGCGCTGTCCTTGCTGACGGCGTCCTTGGTGGCGACGCGCTCCGGACAGTCGCGCCTCGCATGCCCGGCATTGCCCGCCAGGGGCGGACTGGCTTCTAAAGGGCCCGGCGGGGAAATAGGCGAGAGGGGCCCGGATTTGCCTATCTTTCGGGTTTTTTTCATGAACAACAACAGTTTTTTAAGCTTTTTACTCTAATATCGATACTTTTGATCTATTTTAAAGCAATTCCGAGTCAAAAGTATGCTCTGGAGTTACTTAACTGGACTATACTTTGTGTGTTTTGGTCTAAAGGGGGCCCGTATACCGGGGGGCCCGGCGGGGATTTCAACCCCGGGCCTGTCCGCCCCTGAGTCCGCCCCTGTTGCCCGCGCCGGCTGCACTGCGGGCAGCGAATCGAGCGGCGTGCAGCGCGAGGGCGCTGCCCGTTTCCGTTGTCACCATCCTTGGGCGGGTCCGGCTGCGGGTCTTGCTTGGTGGCGGCTTGCTGGGGCTTCTTGGCGGCGGCAGGCTTAGCCATTACCTCGGCGTCCTGCTTGGCGTCGCGCTCGGCCGTCGGCTTGGCGTCCTCCTTGGCCAGGACGGCCGGGTCCTCTTATTCACAGATCGCCCTGCGCACACACCGCGTGTGTATACTGCAAGAAAAAGTGTGGATAGTACAACAAAACACTGGTGAAACAAAGGCGTAAAAGTTACGCCCTTTGGGGCGTAATTCTACATTCACGCCTTTGTTAGGGGCGTAATTTTTTTACGCCTTTTAAGGGCGTAATTGGTTTACGCCAATTCTGTGGCATCAACTGATTACGCCTCACAGGTGGCATTAAAGTTTAACGCCTGTTGAATTGACATGCAGTCTCCACGCGCACAGGGCAAGTATAAACTAGTCTAGCACCCGGGGTGCATTCGCGGCGCGACCGGCCTCCTTATTCTCTATGGTGGTGCCTTCTCGTGGCCTACTGACTTTAACAACGTTCGTTTCATTCGCGTCGCTCGCTCGCTCCCTCTTTATTTGTTTCCTTTCTCTTTCTTTTCTTTTTGTTTTTGTTTTTGTTTCAATTCTTTTGTCCCATTGTCGTAGCTAACAAAGGTCTTTGGGTTGCTATGTAAATTGACTTGTTAAAATCTGCTGTCAACCATTTGGGTTTTTTTTTTTTTAATTTTTTTTAAAAATTACCTTCGGTAAACTATTCTATTGTATTTTATTCGTTTCCTCTAAATTCCTTCGAATCTTTTTATACAAAATGTCCTATTTTCCTGGTTGTTCCGGAAATGCAGATAGCGATGAAGTGAGTGAAAATCCTGATCTTGTCACGCCGTTACGCTGACTTTATCATTCTGTCATAGTAACTTTATTACTCTGTGACGCTGACCTTGTGCCGCTTTGACACTGACGTTGGACCTGTGAAGTGAGCTGTGCGTGTGGCAGTTTGCGTGCGCACACAACGATGTGCGTTGACGACAGCGGTAATCGTATATTTGACGGACAACGGTGTCAGGCTGTATAGTCCCGACGATTGTCAGTATGTCTCTAGCGACTGTCTGGTCAAGCTGTGTTGTCCGTCAACGCTACTTTCGACGCTGTCGTGCACGGCCATCCGGGCGTTCCTACGCATAAATTGACACGCCACGCTTACTTTAAAGGCGCCTACTAACGCCGTACGCTAACGTCTTCCCTGTGTCGTGCTGACTTGGTCACGTTTCACGCCGTTCGGGTGTTTTTGACACGTTGACGTGGTGACCGTTAGGTCGTCGGCTGTAGCTGTTTGTCGTCTCACCTTTATTTCGTCGTTCCGACCTGGTCATCAAGTTACGGACACCTGGTTACCCTGTTATTATTACCTTGCAATTCTGTACGACTTACTTCATTTTGTTGTTAGCTTCACTTGGTTTTGTTGTGCCGCTGACTTACTGACTCTTTCAGGCTGACCTGGTTATACTTTTACTACAACGGTGTTACCCTTTTACGTTGTCCGGGTCATTTTGTTACAATAACTTGGTTGCCTTTATTTGGTCACGTTGTCACCCTCATTTGGGCTGAGCCACGTCGTCAGCTTGTCATTCAAATTTGTTTAACGTCTTAGTAAACCTGGTCCGCCCCTCCCCTCCCCTCCCTGCCTTCCTCTCCCCTCCCCCTCCCGCCAACTACTGCCCCCTTGTTGCCCCCCTGGTGCCCCCCCCTACCCGTGGGCCTTCAAGTTGACTGAGGAAAACCCCCGGCCGGTAGGCCGCGTCTCGCACTGGTGTGCGCGGGGCTGCCTACCCCAGGGATTGCAGGGGCCCTAGGCCGCCGTGGGCCGTCGTGCACGCCGTCTTGTTTTGTTCGGTCTTGTGTGTCATGACCTTGTTAGACGTAGTCATGAACGCCTGTGCATAGGCAACCCTTTGAGCCCAAGTGCTTCTGTGTTGTCTACCCAAGCTGTCGTTCTTACATTGTTATTATGTTTCTTTTTGACTTAATATCTGTCATCTTGTATTATTGTTGTTTTTAGATTGTTTTTATTATTTGGTGTTAATTATTTTTCCCGCCTTTTTTTTTCAGTTTCAGTTTGCTTTCACTTCTTACTAAATTACAGTTGTTTTTGGAACACGTCTCTGGATCTAAGCTGAACAATATCTTTATTTGTTTTGGGTCAATAAAGGTGTTCTACAATGTTACTTGGCACCAAACATAAAACTTGTGACTTCTCTTGTTGTTGTATGAAATATGGTTGCTTTCTTATTTTTTCTTTTTTGTTAATATTTTTTAAAACCTTAATGCTTTGTTTATTTTGTATCTTCCTTCCTGTGTTATTAATGCAATTTGGTATTCACAGGATTACACAAGTGAACCAGATCAACCTTTTGAGTTGTCATTTCATTCTCCCTTAACATGTCTAGATGAAGAAAATGAGTTATTGTATGAACTTAGGAATACTGCTCAACAGGTTTGCCTTTTCAATATTTTTTTGCTTTGTACCTTCATTTCTGGTACTAAACTTGTATTTGGCTTTTTTGTTTTGTAGCTTGCAGTACAGAACAGAAAGTGTTTGGAACCTTCAACAAATTTGTTTGAAGTTCCAAAAGTTCATAAGGTACTTGCTTTTTTTCTTCTTTATTTGTGTTAAATATTAGCTGCTTTGAACTAACTGTGTTTGATTATGTTAGAAATTGGAGGAATCAGGAACCTCATCTGCTGAAGATGAACCTGTCTGTTCTCGTTATTATTCGTCTTTGGATTTGACTATTCCATCTTCTGTATTTTCTTTAAAGAATTGTCACAAAAAGGTAATAATCGTTTTATTTTTGTTACTACGGACTTTGTTGCTTTTAAAAATATGTTAAGATCATTTTTTGTCTTTGTAGGATTGTACCGAGTGTAATGCTAAAGTTGATGAGTTATTTCTGAAGCTAAAGGGCACACCTAAGCGGAAACAACCTGAAAGCAATCAAAATTCAGATGTCACTTCTGAAGAAACGAGTCCTCCAAAGAGAAAGAAACAAAGGAAACATAAGAAGAAGGTTGAAGTTTTTATTTTTATTTGGTGTTCTAATTTATAATTAAATTCCAAGTTTTAATTTTCTTCTTTTTAGGAACCTGATTCTGGAAAGAAAGAGAAAACACCTAGCTCAGAAGACAAAACCTATGTAACATCAGAGTCAGATGATGAGAAGCCTGTGGAGAAGCCGAAACGCAAGCATAGGAAGAAAGTTAATGATCTCACTGACACGAAGAAAGAAACGGGTTCCCCTTCAAAGGTATTTGCATTTTTTAACTGCTGTCGTTACAGAGTTAGGTTATTGGTTTTATACTCTTATTTTTTTTTAACAGAAGTCTAATAAAAGTGGTAAGAATGACAAAAGAGGAAAGGATAAGACAAACGTTGTTTCTACTGATGATGAAGATTCTGAAAGTTCAGCAAAAAAGAAGTCTGAGAAACAACAGAAGGTTTGTCTTTAGACTTGTGTTGGTATAACTTGTGTTCCCAATTTTCAAATTTTATATTTTGTTATAGGATGGTAAAGTGTCTAAAGAAACTAAGGGAGACAATAGTAAGACACCGAAGAGTTCTTCAGAAGACGAAATTCAATCAAAGGGAGGGAAATCGAAGAAAACTAAGCCAAAGAAGAAAAGAGACACAGATGAAGAGGTAACATGTTTGTATTTAGGTTTAATTATTTGTAAAGGTTCTTTCTTTGATTACTTGTCTCTTACTTAATTTTCTTTGTAGGATGAAGATTCTTCTGATGAAGATGTAAGAAAATTTAACACCAAAGCTGATTCACTTCCAAATTTCATATCTATTCGCGATTTAACCCGGAACAAAAAGTACAAAATTAAGAAAATTATTGCTTTGGCTACTTCTAAAGGCAATCGGATAAGACTTGAGCTGCATGATGCTGAATTTGAAGGTGGTCATGCTTTTATCCATTTACCGGAACATCTGTATGCAGAGATTGAACCTATTTTGCCCAAGCTGAACAAGTTGTGCATGGGTGGTTTTTATTTTATATTTAAAGGTTTTAAAGGTCCTTGGTTCAAATACCGTTTTTCTACCAAAAAAAATTAAACACCAGTTATGTGCACTCACTTAATTCTTTTGAGAAAATTAAGTCAATTTTGTTCAATAGTTTCAATTCTTTTGTTTCTTTTTGACTTCTGTGTATCCAAATGAATTTCCAGTCTTTTACATTTAATGTAACAGAGCATGTATTGCGACATGTCAATAGTTTTCCCTTATTTTGCATTAATATATTTCTATTGGAATTTTCATATATTATCTCATAAATAAGTTACTATTTTTCATGACTAACGCTATCCTGTCCAATCTTCATTTTAGGTACAATTTGATAATAAGGAACACAGGAAACGTCATCTTGCAAAGTTGAGACAAAGAAAGCATAGGGAAAAGTTGAGGAGTCTGAACCTTATGTAAATTACTTGATTATCTGATTGCAATTCCAATCAAAACCACTATCTGAATTTCAAATTTGCAAATAAAAGCTATGAAAAAACTGCAGTCTACCGTTTAATTAGAAAACATTTATATACTTTTTGTATTTGTATTTTAACTAACTTATTGTTTGTAATTTGGTTTTCTTCTTTCAAGGCCCATAACACAAAGAAAGAACAGAATAGAATGCGTCAAATCAAGAGGAGGAACATGATGTCAAAGGAATCAAAGGAACGTATGAATCTCAAATCCAAGTTAAGAATGAGAGAATTACGAGCCCTTGCAAATAGAAGAAAGAAGGATAATGAACGTATTAAACAGCGGTATAGAAGAAAGGTTAATCGTCTTGTTTCAAACGATACCGAGCAGTTTTTGGAATCCATGGACATTTTGCAGTATAATTTTGATATATATATGAAACGGCTAACTTACTATCATTGTGAAATATGTCAGAAAAAACAATAAGTGGATAACGTCCAGAAAAAGCCTTGTAGAAACTGTTATCTCTTTACTGCTGAAAATAACATGGATCCAATGATTGTGCCTGAATGTTTGAAGTCACTTTCTTATGTTGAAAAGCAACTAATAGCTAGAGTGCATCCCGTTGTCTCTTTGTATAAAATTAAGGACTGTCAATATAAGTATTCGGGTAATGTCATTAATTTCCCACAAAAGGTACAATGTATTGCAGATGCATTACCTCATAACATCAATGACCTTAGTAGTATTATCACAATACGGCTTGATAATTCTGAAGGTCACAAAGACTTTCTCGTTAGGCGTAAAGCTGTGACAGAAGCGTTAGTGTGGCTGCAAAAAAACAATCCTTTCTACAAAAACGTTGTCATAAACCACCAAAGATGTAAAGATCTTCCTACCTGTGAAAATGTATATCATAAAATGAAAGGTTACACACAAGCTGAAACTTCCGATAATTCTGAAAGTGACTCAGATGTTGGTAATGAGTTAATAGCTGACAAAAATGATACTATTAATTTTACTGATGTTCCTGACTTAAATACATTTTCACAGAAGGAGCAATTGAATAATTCTTTTGGAGAAGAAATTATTAAGTATCCAACCATTGGGAAGAAGCCATTGAGTGAATTTGACTCCCCTGGTTATTTTGCCATGGCTTTTCCACATCTGTTTCCCTATGGAAAAGGTGATTTTACAATGCCTCGAGCTAAGAAAATATCTTTCTCTGATTATGTTAAGCATCTAATGTTATATCATGATGGAAGGTTTGCTCAAGATGAAAGATTCAGGTATTTTCTAATGAACAGTCAGATGCGATGGCAAGCTTTGAATGCTGGTAACATATTTACCCAAAATAATAAAATTTTTTCAGATATGACTATATTACAATTAAAGGAATATCTTAAAGAACATCCTAATGTTGTAAAGAACATAATTTTTTATGCTTCTAGAATTCGTACAACTAGACCATATTGGAACTCAAGATGTTCAGAATTACTTGAGATGCATAATCAATTAGGTTCACCAACAGTCTTTCTTACATTGAGTAGTGCTGATTACTATTGGCCTGATTTCTTTCGTTTACTTGGTTATAACGTTTTACATTTAACTATGTCTGAAAGGAGGAAATTACTTTCTGAAAATCCTTTGTTGTTCGAGTCTTTTTTTGTAAAACGTTGTACATACTTCATGGAGGAATGTGTAAAGCACAAATTTAATGTAAAAGACTTTTGGTATCGTTTTGAATATCAGCATAGAGGTTCTATTCATCTTCATGGCCTTCTGTGGCTATCGGATTCACCATCTATTGACAACGTTACAGTAGATAAGCAGAAAGAAGTGATTGATTACTTCAATAGTATTATTTCTTGTAACAACCCAAATGTGAATTTTGAAGTAATCTCAGGACATCCTTGTGAAAGGAGGTTGTTGGAAGTAATTAATACAGATAATGACTACATCAATCTTGTTAACACTGTGCAAAGGCATACACAATGTAAAAAAGGTTATTGTTTAAAACAAAAGAAAGGAACTCTAAAATGTAGATTTAACTTTCCTTTTGAAATGGAAGAATATACAAAATTAATTATGGATGGGAACCCTTTTAAAAGAAATTGTGTAGAAAGGAATGATCCTTAGTAAACCGTCACAATAGGTGGATCTTACAAACATGGAGGGCAAATATGGATATTTCTGCTATTGTAAATCCTGATGCTGTCTATAGATATATTGCAAAATATGCATCTAAGTGTGAAATTAAGTCCTTGGAGTACAATGATCTAATCAAAAAAATTTCTACTACAAAAGAGAATGATAATGAGCCTTCCAAAAAAATGGGGTCGTCCCGACTCTCCGAAGTACGATTCCCCAAACCCTAATTCTCTTTTTCTTTCTCTTAATAAAACAACAAAATAATTGAAAATAAGTTTTTGTATTAAAATTATTAAATAAGTGTGTTCAAGAGAGTATGCTCATTTGGGTTTCCCTGCAGCCAGTAGGAGGTGGCCGAAAAAAGATGGCAACATCTACACAACTTCTAATCGTACTTCGAACGGGGTGAGTTATTACACTAAGTGTACTATTTCAAATAACTAGTGCTTCCGCCGTGTTTCCGCTCGAAGGTGGTGGGGTGGGGCCCGTGAACTGCAATGAGCTGAACCCCCGAAGGAGAGCCGAAAGGGAACCACCGCCTGCTTGTTTCTCTCGCCCAAACAACGGAACGGACTAGAGGGGGGGAAGGGGAACAGAACTTTCTAGCAGAAGACTGAAAACAAAAAAATAGTTCTGTTTTGATCTTAGTTTCATCTCCTTTTAAATACGTTTCGCGTTAAAGACAGACACCTCTTGTTACAAACCACCTCATTTCCTGTCATCTTCTCTGTGACTTGGAAATGTATGTTTGTAACTGTATAATACCGACGAACATAACCAAACCTTGTCCAAGTTTTGTTTTGAAGAAGGTTACAACACCCAAATTAGGGCTAATAGATATGAGGAGGTACTGTCGAAATAGCCTCTTCTTGATTTAAAATGTGGGGGGGGGGGGAAAAGGACCAACGTTACCTGAAGTACAGCTATCTCTATGACTGAACATGTTTTCCCCTTTGATGATGGTGCGCCAGTTTCGCTTGGAACTGATCATCCCTTACAAGGGCTCATCTCCACCGTTCTTACCCAGTCATTTTGTTCATTGGTGTTTAGTGCAGGATTATTTCATCATGAGAAGAAGCTGAACTTCATTGGTGCCAGCTGTTTGGTGGTGTTTTAGTGCAGGATTATTTCATCATGTGAAGAAACTGAACATCATTGGTGCCAGCTGTTTGGAGTCCCACAGTCCCAAAAATGAGATGGTGTGTACGGTGTTATCAGTGATCGTCTATGTTGTCATTTTTAAAAGACTCCAACCTGTCGTGTTCTGATTCCAGGTTCCGTGTTCAGCACCACTTCACATCCACCGCTCAAAGTACATGTGTGTGTAACATTATCCAACCTGAACTCCATAAATAAAGAGGTGAAAATTAAGGTGTTCAGTTATGTGGTCTCCCTCGAGTCCTGGGTATTCGGAAAGTCATAAGAAAAATTTAAAAATAGCAAAGGCATCAAAACATTTATTTAGCATAAAGGGAAATGGAATGCTTTTGAGCAAATAGTGATTGATTGTACATCAACTAGAACAAAAGACGATTAAAATAATTATAAAACTATAAATCACGGTAAGATTACTGCTTTTAAAGACAGCCGCTACCTTTGAAGGAAAAATAATAGAACTGAGCTGAAAATGTGAATACAGTAGTTAAAAGCTTAAGTAAGAAAACAATCAGTCTGATCACAAAAACACTACAAACAAGTGCTAAAAACACTTCAGTCAGTCAGGGCTTTAGCTTCCTAAGGGTAAACCAGGGAAATGGACAGAGAAATGTCATTCAGCTAAAAAACAAAAGCATCAAATACGTTCATGACCCTAGTGGAAGCCCGGTGTAAAAAGCGATTGATACTGATTGTGCCCCGGAACAAATCAGTAGTGAAATTCCGGATTCTAGTGTCGTTATTGATGGCTGAGACCTTTCTGGCCCTGGTGAGGTTGCGCCCCAAGTCAGCAGTTCTTGTCAGCAGATAGCTGTAAGCCTCATACTTCTTTAGAGCAGCTGTAACAGAAAAATGTCCTGCTTTGTAGACTTTACTTTTTAGACTGCTGATTAAAAAAGGATAGATAACTTTCTCGCAGTTCTCAGAGCTTGTGCTCTAAAAATAACATTTAAAAAAACAAATGCTAAAAGAAACTTACATATGAAATGCCACAGACCAGGTTGATGGGCTCCTGTTTTTGACCTTAAAATTTTGTTTGCACTTTCAGCAACATTATTTGTTCTGTGGGCCAACCCAAATACACTCAAAGACCGGAAAAAGTTCCCCCTCATCCAGGTGTCAATGAAGTATGTGAAAAATGGATCTAGTGTAGCAAACAGGCCAAGTCTAAATGCCTCCCTGAATAAAGATGTGACACCTCTCTCCATAGTACGCCCAGGGAGTAGTGGTATAGCACAAAAAGACCTTACAAGGCTTTTGAGCCTTCTGTCTTGGGCCATCAGGGGAACCAATCCAAGTTCTCTTGCTTTTTTAAGAATAGCCTGTCAGATAGAAAAAAATAAATACTATTGAAACAAAAACTGATCAAGAAGGAACCCAGAGAAAGTCAACATACTCTGCAGTAATGCCAGTAGCACCCAAAAACTGGAACATTGAACACATTTCTCCATGCATTTTGAAGGCCAGGTTCGAAGTCAGTCATGACACGAGTTGGCCGGAAATTGGGCATCAGCTGCCTTAGGTAGTTGAGGACAGCTGTGTATTCAGCCTCTGTCTTGCCTGACATGAGAACTTGGACCAATGGTACTACCTGGAAATTACAGCATCACAATAGCTGGAATTTTTGATACAGAAATAAAGAAATATGGGTTTAAGAAATGAGGCTTAAGAAAAAAAGGTTCATGATTACTTACAGCATTTCTCACTACTGTCACAATTTGAAGTACCTGTGTACATTGGGGTGTACCAGGTCTGCTGGCAAAGGTGCCATCACAGAAGACTTGTCGCACTCGCCCTCGAGCCATGAATCTCCTCATGCGTCGTGATGCAAATACTAAGGAGGTAGTACCCCCTGGAGCATTTACAGCACCTGCATAGACATTGTCTGTTGAATCTAAGGATGCAGTCAAATGACGATGCTGCCCCAGCACATTGCCAAGTTCATGTAATGAATCTGGGACACGAGGGTATTGGATACTCCTTGCCCTGTGAATCATGCTCTTCATGCTGGATTGAGTAATATGGGCTGCTATATGAGCAGGAAACCTGAAACAACAAAGGCAAAATTGATGTTTTTCAAAGTTAATAATAGTTTACGGAAAATTTCAAAGTTAAGAACAAACCATACATATTTCGAATCCTCTCCACCAACTCTCCTGGAGTTTCATATGGGCCTACTCTTGTGGCCTCCCGAATAATTGTTTCCTTCAAAAGCTGCACAGCACCTAAGGCTCTGTCTGGTGCACAAGTATGCCGCTCAGTGTTCAACCACTGGACACCATTAGGTCCAGTAAATACTGTGGCCTTCCCACGACAACCCCTAGTGGTGTAATTCCTGCAGCGTAAATAAACTTCGCCACTATTTTCAGTATTTGCGTACAGGTACTCATTATTAAAGTGGTAATAAAACCCATCTGCACAGTGATAGATTCTAGATCCATCTCGCTCTCCATTCATGACTCTTAAGTCAACCATAGCGATATCTAAAACCAATAGAGAGATTTAACAATAAGGGAAGCATTAACAAAACAACAAGAACAAAAACTAAATGAGTGGTCCAAGAGATAAACATTTGATACAGGTTAGGTAGTGGCAGAACTAGTAGAGCGGTACGCAGCCACTGGAAAAGAAGGTACCGGCTTCTGTATACAACGTTTAATGATGCGTAGATAAATTTTACCGACCTGAAATGATAGTCTCGACGAGTTACCAATACCAATCTGAGAATCAAGTAACCTAACCAGTTTCGTAGATACAGTATTGTTTCGCGCCAACCGCGGGTTCGCAGTGGAGTGGGGGGTGGGGGTAGGGTTTGGGTGGTTTGGGCCTCTTGGGTTTCGGCGTTTCGGCTAGGCTGGAGGTTGCGATAGTAGCCGGAAGGGGGCGCCACTTAGACGGAAATCGTCCGCGCGCCAATGCAAGAGATTCAAATGTTCTGATATGGTGACCCACCGGAAATCGATCCAGTTCCCATGTTTATTCGTTGAACATGGATCTATGTGAACCACTATGATTCAGGTGTCTAGTTCATAAACACTCGGCGGATTTCCGTATTTTCGTTGCGTTCCTCCCCTGTCATGTAATAATAATTTTTCGACATCGATGAAAAGGTCACAAAAAATTATAATTACACCGACTTTATTCTGATGACGTGTCTAAGGCCTTCCGCCCGCGTAAAATTAAGCCTCACGGCTGCTTTCGGACAATAATGGAAACATCGCCCCTCCCCCAATCGCCGTCTCTCAAGCCATTGTTGCGAGTAAATTGTGTGAACGGTGTGAACACTGGTAATATCAGCACTGATTCCAAGATGGCATCAAAACTGAGCATTCACAAATACGAAGCCATGAAGATGTGTGCCTGCCAATTGGATGTAAGTTTCTCTCCCATTCTCTAATGTGACACAATAACAACGTGATTTGGTAGTGGGTGTCCAATATCGTTTAGTACGAAATCCAACGAGCTGAAGCGGAAATATACAAGAGGAGAAAACTCGACCGAAAGGTGAAGGTGTTCAAGTATCTGCAGGACCTTGTTGACGAGGAATTGGAAGTGCACTGGGACGACGAGCGAACGGTGAAGGAGCTCGAAGCCGACAAATCTTATCTGGAGGTGAGAACGGTCACGAGTGTGACTTGAAATCCTAACTTCCGATGCCCGCATTTTTTGCTTTGTCTCTCTCGCACTCATGGAGTGTGACGTACGAGTGCGAGAGAGGGGGGGGGGGCACAGTGGGCCAGAAGCCAGTGGAGGCGGCCAAAACTCTAGACGCGTTTTGAGCTTCAGAGTCGCGAAGCAGGCCTCGAACCGAACGTGTGACCCCACCAGTCGTT